CAGCCTCGGCTAGTTCATCGGGGGATGGGGCCACGTTTTCCAGGGCATGAATGCCCGACCTGAGTCGCCCATGCTGGAATCCTTGTCCAGAACGCAGATAAGACAGCATCGCGACCTCGAGTGCGATGCGGGGCAGATCGCAGGATGGAGCAATGCGACCCACACAGAGGGACACATTGGAATTCACGCGGGCGCACTAATCTCCTGGAGAGACTTCGCTTGCAAATTGCAAGCTTTGAGATGGTGCTTGCGAGTGGGGCCCGCTCCGCCGCGTCGGCAAGCGCGGGGGCGCGCGGCGATCGGCCATCGCGAGGGGCGCGCGCATCGCCCGACTGCCCGCGAAGGTTGCAGGGCCGACTGACAGGTCGGGGGCTCGGAAGTTCCGCGAAGAGTTCGTCTTGACAGTCAAGCGCTCCAATTCGCGGCGCGAGGGGGGGCGCGGGCCGACGCGCCGGCGCCGCCGGGGCGAGGGCTGCATGCGCGGGGATTCACGCGCCTTCGCGCGCGTAGGCGACGGCGGAGGCAAGCCCGAAAGGGAATCGTTAGAATGGCGAGTCCCCAGACAGTCCCCAGATCGCTCGCCCTCGGCGGCTGCGCTGGCCCTGAAACGACGTGCCCGACAGTCCGTCTCAACCCGCCCACGGAGAGGGGCGCGGGGCGCGGGGGGGGAAGCAGGCGCGCGTGCTCTCGCGGCGGGCAAACCAAGACCGCCCCCCCGCGCGGCGGGGGGGCCCAGCGCGAACCGCGCGCCGAGGTCGCTCTCCGCGGCGGCGGGAGGGCCTGGCGCTGAAGTATTTGCGGCGGGGAAGCCCGGCGCAAGGGCGACTCAGTCGGCTGCGGCGCGCCGCGATGTTCGCGGCGCGCTGCGCCCGCAGCGACGCCCGGTGTCTTCGCGGCGCCGTGGATTTCCTCCGAGGTTCGCGCCTGGGCCGAAGGTGTTACTTGATGTGAACTCGCGCGACTCCCAGTATTTTTCATTTGCGCTGCGCTCGGCCTGGTAGTTTGTCGCGCTATTTACGGCCCTGTGCAACGCAGTGCGTTTGCGGGGTCGTGGGCTCGGCGAACGCGCGGGCTCGAGACCCCGGCAGTCCTGCGCCGGACGCCCCCGCGCCCGCCCCCGATGAGGCGCCGCCCGCGGGGTCCTGGAGCCAACGGTTCGATTAATTTTGGCAGCAGGCGCCCTCGGCCGTAAGACCTTCGGCGAACGGGGCGCGGAGGCCCAGCGACGGCGTTCCTGCGGCAGGGGGCTGGTTGCCGAGAGGCCTGCTCTGCGCGTCCTCGGATTTCTGCTCTTGGTATCGCGGTTCCTCTCTGTCGTCTGATCCAATCACGTCGTTTTGCCCGTCCTGCTGTTTTTTTGTTGTTTTTTTGTGGGTGACGTGGACTTCGTCGCTTGAGCGTTCAACCTTTTCGCGAAGATACCGCTCGCGTGCCCGCTGCAGCCGCGCGTGTTCCAGCGGGGCGACTGCCGCCGAGGTCGCGCGCGCACGCGCGCACGCGGTTGCGCCCCGCTGCCTTCCCTGCGCAGATCACGAGGAAGGGCGCTCGACAGGGGCCTCGCGGCCGCCCCGCCTTCTGACCAGAGAACCTCCAGTTTGTAGCTTTTGCGGGTGGTGTTTTTCCCCCATCGATCTTGACGCAGGTTGCTTTTGACAAAATCCCCGTCGCGGTTTCGGGTGATCCTGCTTCCGTCTGACCTCGCCCCTTTTTTCAACCCTCTTCTTGCCCTCCTCCTGCTGCTGCTGGTGCTTGAGCGACACGTGTACGGGCGCGTGCGACTATCGTCGGCTTCGCGAAGTGCGACTGCAAACGCTTGTCATCTTTTGCGAATCGCGGCATGGCGCGAGCTCGAAGAAGTAACGGGGACCTGGCCGTTTTTTCACAAGCGAGCCACGGCCCAATCCCAAGTTGGTTTTGCCGAGAAGGGAGGCCTGGCCCGCGGGCCATTCCATCCCCATTCGTACATGCTGCGGGCGCGGCATTTCGGCGTTTATCGCCAGGGCGGGCCCCCTGTGCCGTTCGCATCGGGCACATTTTCGGCCCGCGTGCTCCGCATCCGTCCGTCATCCCTTGCTTGCGTGGCCGTTGCCGCCCCGCCGAGCGGGCGACGGCGCCGTCCTTCCGCGCCGCGCCGCCTTCCAGAACTCTGATCACCATGGTGGACTGTCTTCGCGCACTGATCGCCGAGACGCGGCGCTCTCCCTTTTCGCCCGTTGCCTGGCCTTGCCCGTTCCTCGCGGGCATGGCCCAGTTGATCGCCAGAGTGGGTTTTCTTACGCACTGATCGCCGATGCGCGGCGGTTTCTCCTCCCTCCTGCCCGTTTTTCGCGGGCCCAGCCCATCCGATAACCAGGCTGGATCCTTCGTGTCGATCGCTGTGCCAGTCTGTCGGGCGCCGGCCCATCCCCGCCCCTGTCCTGGGTTTGTTGCCGCCCCTCCGCCCTCCTTGCCTCTGTTGGGTCGTGTTGGCTCCGGCCCTCGACGGGAAGCCGGCTCCAGTCGATCGCCCGGGTGGCCTTTCTGCAGTCAGTGAAGGAGCCCAGGGACACACAAATAAATTGACACAAATAACAGGATTCCATATTTTTTCCGTATCTTTTCTTGTTTTTTTCTCTCCCCCCCATATTTTCCCATATTTTCTGAGGAATCGGCGATGAATTGTGTCTGTGTGTTTTGCCTCCCCTCCCGAGTCCTCGCCGTGCCCTCCGCCCCTCCCGTGCTCGCCTCGCCGCGTTGTGCCGCGTGGGCCGGCGCGCCGTGGTCGGGCGGCGTGCTTCTCTCCGCCCGCTCCCGCATGCCGCTCGCGCCGCCTCTGCCGCTGGGCGCCCCGCCCTTGCCCTGGCGGCCGCTGCGGGGGTTTTGCTCACGCCCGCAATCTCTCGGGAGGAGAAGAAACACACACAGACACAATGAATCGTCGACTCCCCAGAAAAGATGGGGAAATATGGGAAGTGGGGGGGAAGACAGAAACCTAGAAAATATGGGGAAATATGGGGAATCTGGTTATTTGTGTCTATTTATTTGTGTGTCCCAGTTCCCCCTCAATCTCTGGCGGGCTCCTCTCGCTCGCCTCGCTGTGGCTGGCCCCCGTGCTCCCGAGGGCGCCCGGGCGTCGTCACGCCGTGCCCCGTCGCCTCGCTGCTGCGCGCCCGGCGCTCGGCGCCCCCCCCCCCGTCGCCCCGCGGCCGGTGCCCCTGGCCCGCCGATGCCCCGCGGCTGCTGAAGCCACCGCCCCGTGAGCGCCCGGTCACCTCCTCGTTTTGTCGGCGCGCGCGCCCGTGCTGCCTCCCAACGGCATGGCGTCGCCTGCCCGCTGACGACTGGATAGTGTGTGGTAACGTTGTGGTTATAGCTATGGTGTTTTGATCGGGGGTTACGAAGTCAGAAGCAACAACGCTCAATCTTACACCATAGATTTATGTTTGGGCTCGCAGCGCCGGGGCTATCTCAACTTGAGCACCCCGGACACGAAACAGTAATTGCGCGTTTAGGGTCGGGGGCGATTTCCAGGTAGCTCTTGAACGCTATGATACCACTCGCACTTGGCTATCGGCCCATCATCCTTTGTTATCGTGACATCCTGCCGCAAGTGCGAATGCGTCGTCACGCACGTGTACGGTCAAAGTCTTGCAGCCAGCCCATGCAAACACCAGTACATGATGGTGAATTCAACGCGCATTTGGATCATGGTTGGCGTGGCCAGCGTGGCATGGTTTGACAGGGATTGTACTCATTCACCGCGCGCGTGTTGCCCGCGTGGCACTGGTTCAGGATAGTTGTGCTCCCTCAGCGTGCGCACGTGGCCCGCGTTGTACTATCCAGCTGCCTGCGGCAAATCCCGCCACTTCAGCAGCGCAGCAAGAAGGAGGTAGAGTTTTGGACCCGTTCCAATTCGGTGCCTTGTTTGAACTGGCGTGGGTCTTTCATCTTGAGTGCCCCCTCCGTGTCTGCAGCCTCGTTCTCTTCTTTCCTCCTCTGTTCTCGTTTTCCTTTTTGCAGGCGTATTGGAGCCTCTTGAGGGTCTCTTGGGTCCTCTCGGGGGCCTTTTGGATTGCCGCAGCGTGTTCAGGCGCAATGATTCCGCATCCCTCTGCCGAGGAGGCTCCGTTGAAACAGATTGGAGACGTACGGGCGAATTTCAGGGCCGCCTTGAAGCCCTTTTGGACCGTCTTGGAGGTTTCCCGGGCAGTCTCGGGGCCATCTGGGGACTCTCTTAGGGCAGTCTTGGTTTGTCTTGGGAGCTTCTTGGGGCTCTATGACGCTTGCCCCTAGCGGTCTGAAGCCGAAAAGCGTCAGATGCCAACGCACTGATCCCCCTTAGTTTGTTCAAAGTGGTTCGCTCCTGACTCGTTGGAGCGGGCCTCTTGGGGCATCTTCTTGGGGGGATCCTGGAGCCTGTGGGAGCTCGTTGCATCCTTGGATGTCATAGAACAGGGGATGCGTTAGGGTTGGGTTGGAGCGTTAGGGTTGAGGCTTGAGGTTCGTGTTTGCTCTTCGGTTGGCGTTCGGCGCTGGTGTCCAGGATCCGGTCTCAGGAGCAGCGGGATGGGGAAATGGGGTTTCCCCCGTCCCCTCGTGGGTCAACAAGCGGCGCGCCTTGCCCGCTTCCTTCAGTATGCTTTTCCCCCTATGGCAGAGTGTAGGGTCGGGGGGAGGCGGAGCACTCACCCAGGAGAGCGACTTCCCTCCTCTCTTGACCAGGGCTGGATTGTTTAAGCGACTTTATCGGTTCACTATTCGCGGAACTAGCAGCCCTGGGGAAGCGTTCTGTGTCTCATCGTTTCTGCGTAAACGACCCTAAGAGCTACGGGCCCAGAAACAAATCGAAGGAAAACCAGTTTCATTACTGTTCAAGCCGCTAGCCCTTACCTGTTGCCCCTTGCGTCGCCAGGGTGGTGTCGGAGTAGCGGAAGGGTGAGCTGTCTCTTTCTTTCGATAGTGCCCACTCGCCTTCTTCACCTAAGCCATCCCGCGCGGCCCCTGGCCTCGAAGTACCGCAGGCTTTCCTGCCGTGCTTCCACCGCTTCCACGTGGACTGCGCGAGGGGAAGTTTGAAGGCCATGGGGCGCTAAAGCTGGTTTCGCACCTGCGGGCTGGGCAGGAAGGGCTCGTATTCCCTACAGTCTGGTTGGCAGTGATGCCCCAATGTTGGCGGCATTCCAGTCGAATTTACGGCTAAGTCACGCCGTGCTAGCGCCCCCTATACAATCAGGTTCATCATCCGATAAGAGGGTACGTCGAATTGCTTTTTGGCGCCGCGAGGTCAGTGCCTCCAAACGAAGGCCAATGCTCACTGCCCATGCTGGAACGAACATATCTGCATCAGCAGTTCAAACTTATCCTAACTGTGTTGCTTCTCTGGAACGGTCGGGTTGCCTGCAACCGCTGGACTATCCGTGGGGATTCTCAGGTGGGTCTCCGAGTGGTGGCCGAATCCATTGTTGGGGTTGCAGCTGTCCGCCAGAATTCTGTCCACTGTTCGCAGAGAACTTGGGTGCGGACGACGAGCTCATATTTTTTCCTTTGGCATGCGTGATACACATTACTACTTTAGTACCCTGGCATTTCCTAACATTTGCGCCGCAGACGGTATCCCGCTGCACTGCTGCTCAGTTCCATTGCGCGCACTGCGGGAAGTGCAGCACTTATCTTTACAAGGTGTCGTGGTGTTGTGGTGCCGTGTTGTGCCGTGCGGTGTGATGCCGTTTCACGCGATTGATGATGAGGATGAGTGTGCTTGAGTTCAGGCGTAGGGCGACCGAGACTTCTAAACATGCTGTCAGGGCATTTGGCGCCAACGGGGTCTGCCTCGCCCCAAGCTCGACCCGGCTCTCTCTGAAATGCCTTGCGCCGGGTGCAGCAGTACGGCGCCACGCAGAGGCGACGAGAGCCGTAGTAGCATTGGAGTGCGGAACCGACGCGCGCGTGGTGGGTTCCAGGGCGGATGAGGGCGGTCGTTGGCGCGCCTCCCGCCACGAGTCAAAGCGCGAGGCGTGCGCGGGCGCGCAGGCGACACAGAGAGGTCTCGCTTCGGGCACGGCCGCGCCCTGTCTTGGCAGGCAGAGGTGGCACTGGGCAGGAGCAGCGAGGCCGAAAGACGGGCTGGGGCCCGGCAGCGCGATGCGCTGCTGCCTGGTGATTGCATGTCTCGGCGCACTTTGTCCCCGAGCAGCGATTGCCCCCGCGTCTGCTCCCCGAGTGAGCGCACGAAGCGGCCGCACACGTATGCCAACACTTAAGCAGCAGTTTGACAGCATCGACTTCTCCTGTGAGCATTGGTTACACAACACATGCACCACCAAACAAACGACATTCGAACAGCATTCAGACACCATGTTTCTTCAAGGCATACACCAGCACAACAAACACACAGCACATACACGACGCTGGGGGTGCCTTGAGACTCCGCCCGCGCCTCCGGGAATACGGATGGCCGCGTGGACAGCTGTCCCCAGTGATTAGACATCTCCCCCGCTGGCACACCTGAGGCCACGAAAGTAAAACATTCACCACATTCCCAGCAGCGCACGAACATCCACGAATATCTACACAGCAATTGCACAACACCAGCACCAGGTGTAACCATACATAACGCAAACGCTGAACAAGGACGGGGCCACGTCCGACATGCGATTGTTGTCGTAATTTGCCATCGCGCGATCTGCTGTTGTGGTGGCAAAGGTGCGGCTGTCGCGCCCGCGTGCGCAGGACTCACGAGACGAAGTGATGTTGAAAAGTTCACGAACGCGTGAGAATCTCACGCGGACGAAAAAAGGGTCCCCTTTGGGGGCGGGCACTTTGGGGGCGGGCAGCCGTTGCGCGTTCACACGGGAACTTAAAGCACATGTTCACCAGATCACCGCGGGCCGCCCTTTTACAGTCTCGACAGCGGCGAGGTCGTCCCTAGACGTACATACGGGAGATTGTGCAGGCCTCGTGGCCGGTTCCGCCGTCCCTGCAGGCGGGACCGCCGCCGGGACCCCCGGCTGACGCCCCCCCCCCCCCCCCCGCGGGACCCGCGCAGACCCTTGGGGGGGGTATTCTTCAGTACTCCTCCTCCTCCTCCTCCTCCTCCTCCTCCTCCTCCTCCTCCCTATCCCTGTCCCCATCCACATCTCGAGCCCCAACCGTCTCACCACCTCAGTTGGGGATATTCTCCCTCGAGACCCGAAGAGAGCAGCCTATGTATGTATATATCTATATCTATATATATATATATATATATCCCCATCAGGGGAGCAGATCCGCCAGTGGGGCCCAGCCCGCGCTGGCGGGGACGTGGATCGGTTAAACGATGCTCCGTTCTGGGGACGGCCAACCCCTCGTGCGGGACCTTCCCTGGGACATCCGCTGGCGACCCCCCTGCGGGGGTGTTCTCCGAGGGACCCGCCAGGACCCCAGGGGACGGGGGGCGGCCAACCGGCCCGGGGGCCCCCCTACCCCTCTCCCAACCCTCCCTTCTCCTCCTTCTTCTATTCCTCCTCCTCCTCCTCCTCCTCCTTCTCCCCCTCCTCCCCCTCCTCCTCTCCCCCTCTGAGCCGGCCCTCCTTCGTCGGGGAGGGAATAGTTAGGTTTACGTAATTACGACGTTTCTTTTCTCTGTTCGTTACTTTTTTGTCCGTGGGGTTGGCGGCGACCCTGACGACAGCGTCTTACACACCGAAGGGTCGGCGGATTTTAAGAGATTCGATTGGCTAGCGGGTGTCCGCGCGCGTCGGGATTGTAAGCCCGCGGAGTGGGAGTCAGGGCTGGCCCGAAAGGAGAGACCATTACGCAAATCGGGCAATCAGTGGGTGTTCGGTGGCACGCCTTAGTTCTAATTTTCCTTAAGAGGGCAGTCTTGGCGTCCTCCGGTGAATCTGGAGGTTCTGAAAGCCCCCTGAGGGACCATTGGGGCCCGTGGGCCACGAACTGTGAGGGGGGTATGCCGAGCTGGGGCTCCCTTCAGCCGTCCTGGGGGCGAACCGAACGCCTCAGGGGGCTTCTGAGACGCGGAACGTATGCCAAATGGAGTGTCTTTGGAGTAATTTCTCGAGAGGTCGTGCGACAGCACACCTCAAGGGGGGGCGCACGTGGCCACGAAGTGCTTGACATGGGTTTGCCTGCAGGAGCCGTCGTGAGGGGCTAGCTGCTAGCTGAGCGTACTGTCGGGGCGCTGTCCGTGCTGCTTAGCTGTTTTACAGTTTGCCTTGGGCTTTCGGTTTTCGATGGGACATCGAAGCTTAACTAATGGGGAAAAAGGGGCCTCGTTCCTTCTTCAGGGTTCCCTAGGTCAGCGCCCCAACCGTATATGAAAGTCCGTGTGGCACGAAGAGCGCGAGGGGCGCGTCGAAGTTCCACTGAGCCACACTGATGGGGCCAGCTGAGCGCTCGCGGGTGCCCATGACGCTCGAAGTGCGTCCGGGGCGTGCGCCCCTTTGAGGTTCCCTCGAGCCGTCTCGAGAGTCTAATTTTGAGAGCTCACGTATGGGCCATCGAGCACGACCAGGGTGAGAGGGGCCAACTTGGAAGCCATCCCAGCTTCCGGCCAAATGCGCGGACCCGTGCCTAGCTCACCACCCACCAAACCACCCCAACCCAGCCCGAAGGCTCAGATTTACCCTCGATTTCCAGTGGGGGGGGGTCGGGAAACATCGAAAAAACACGTGTGGAACCCTTACCCCCCCCCCACCCGAAATTCGGGTCCTCGGGTTGGGTTGCGGTGGTCTGGTAGGTCGTCACTAGCACGCACTGCGCATGCCATCTCCATCTTCCTCTCCAAAATCGTGCACACCTGCCGAGGCTCGACGCGGCTCCGGCCGCGCGGCTGCCGTTCCGCTCCCGCAGGGGGGGCCCGCAGAGCGGGGAGTCGCGGCGGGCCCACGAGGAGGAAGCATTGCAAAAAAAACCGAAGGATTGCAACGGATTGCAAAAAAACCCTTCGATTGATTGCAAAAAAAACGAAAAAACAAAAAAAACGAAAACCTTCCCACATCGCGCAATCAGTTGGTGTTTCGTGGCGCGGTTTCGGCAACGGTCGGCGGCAATCGTTGCGATTGCTCTTTGGAGGCCGGTCTTGGCTTCCGTTGGGACTTCGGGGGCCCTTTGGGGGTCCACGAGGCGCGAATGGCGTGAGGGGAGTGCCGGAGATCCTCCGTCGCAGGGACCAGCGTGCCCCACCTCTCCGGCTCGCCGTCAGCTCCCGCGCCCCTTCTGGCGCCACCGCTCTGGCTCCCTCCCGTTCGAGGCCACGGAGACACGAGGTTGTGGTCACTCTGCAGGAGTCGTGTGCTGATGTTTTATGCGTTCATGGTCGATTGCTTTCTTGTACCGCCACCCGTCCTGTAATTGAACTGTTCCGCCCGCACCCGAAGGAGAGCCGGCGGTGTCCCATGTGCAACCAGGATTTCCATGCTGCGGCAGCAGACGCGAGGAGGTTGGTCAAGGACTCTGGCACCCCCGAGGCATATGCCAAGGACGCGCTCCCCCGCCAGGACGAAGGAGAATAGGGAGCATGATCGTGAGAGGGATATGAAAGAGAAGTAGGGAAGGAGAGGGAGAGAGAGGAGCAGATTAGGATGGAGGCGTGTACCTCTTCCCACATACAGAGAGAGAGGGAAAACAAGAGATAGCGATAGAGAGAGAGAGAGAGAAAGAAAGAGGGAGAGAGAGAGAGAGAGTGCGAGCAACATACACACATGACAACATAGTTTCCCAAAGGTACTGGATGCACTGGCCTGGCTCCCCTTTTATAGCGAGTCCTCTTCTCTTAAGGGGAACGTTGAAGAATGTGTCTGAAATGACGAGCTCGCATGCTGCGCAGCACTCGAATAAAAGCTGCAGCGTCGTGGTGGTGGGCTCCATGCCGCTCTGCAGCACTACCATGGGAGTTTTTGTCAAACAAGCTAGAAAAGGTATGATAACGTGATCTTCGGCCTCCCCCGCCCAGGATTCGATGCTATGGTCTTGGGTCGACCGGACCAGGTCCCCGAGGCAATTGAAGGCATCGCATGGTGAGCGGCCTGCTTGGCCAAAGGTTGACAGCAGCTTCATTCGCTTTCCACTACGATCATAACCTCTGAGAGGGGCTGTCCTTCCGGCAGACGGCGCGGGGTCGTGCACTTGCAGGACGCTGCGGGGTCGGATGATCGCGCCACATCGCTGATGCATCGGCGATGCGGCGCGATCTGGAGCCAGATGTTCTTCATCCCGACCCCGCCGACGCATCGCTGATGCATCGGCGATGCGATGCGACCCTCCAGCCCCGCGTGCTCTGGTCTCACCTTGGCGGCCTCTGCTGGGTGGAGTGCTCTGGAGCGGGGGGGCAGGAGAACCAGACGAAGCACAGGCGCAGTGCTTGAGCTCTTGTCTGTGAAGGGCTTCAGGCGGCCTTCGGGCGCCCTCTGCATCGACGATGCGTCGGGTGGCGATCTCCCGACCGTATCTGCCATTTGCACTGTTGGAGACCTCCAGCAGCGATCAGCTGCAGATGGGTTGCACCCCCCAGACTGTTCTCGCCGTGCCTTGGCGCATACGGCTTGTGGCGCGATGCCAGGACGTCTTACGGCTGGCGTCGGAGAGATCGCGTGCGATGTGGCGCCGTTGGCTTGCTGTTCCCCTTGATGGCAGCGTGCACCGAGGAAGCCCCGGCAGGGGGATGGCGTGGACAGAAGGTGCTCTTACGGGGGATCGCCTCGCATGGATAGCTTGTGTGTTTCGGAGATTGATGCTACACGTTATCGTTATCGTCCCAACGCCAACCGTAGGTCTCTCCCAGTGGCCACCTGGTAGCTCAGCGGGCTTCCTGCCCTGCAGCCGAGCACGTGGACAGGACGTTGCCAATTCTTGGAATTGCGAACTCACAGTATATTTGTGTGTGTGTGTGTTCGGACGCGTGCCAATGCATGATATCATCTCGTGTGATGTCAGTCGGGCGCTGGTGCAGCACGTTCCATGTTGCTTCCGTGGGTCAAGCTTCTCGAACCCGCTTCGACATCTCTCGCGCCCACCTCGCCCGTGGCGTGTTCGGTGCGCCGCCCTGCTGCTGCGGCCACAGCTGTTGGCCGTCGGTGGCGTAGTGGTGCCAGGTTCGTTGCGGCCACTGGAAAGGATGGCGGGGAGCAACGTCGTACAGTGCCGTTTTTAATACATGCTCCGTGTGCGGATCATGTATTAAACATGCATGGATTTAGTATTGAAAGCAACGATGCGTTCATGCATCAATGTATTCATACATTAGTCATGTAGTAAACAATATGTTCTATTAAAACATCTCATGTATTAAAACACTGCCCTGTATTGGTTGCAGCTCTCCACTTCACCGTTCCTCGACCCGGCGACGGATGCCCTCGTGCGTCCCCGCCCAGGCGTCGTGCCATCCCCCTCTTCTTCCGTGTTTCTCCTTGTTCGACGTCGGGCGCCCCACCATCATATCCCCAGTGGTCTTCGAATGTGTGTTCTGAGGTTCCTGGCTGGTCCTCGTGCCCCTGCTCTCCTCCTCGAGTTCTCGCCCCCTGCCCTCTGAGGTTCCGGGCTGGTCTGGCTGGTCTCTCCGTGCCCCTGCTCTCCTCCTCAAGTCATCGCCCCTGCCCTCCTTGGGCGCCCGTGTTGCTCCTTCCCGGCTGCGGGCTGTGTCGATTTGCCCCGTCCGTGCGCCCCGCCCCAGGAGGCCCCACGGCCCACGTGCGCCTGCGCCGTCAGCTAGCCGCAGCCGACCCTCCGGGACACGGAGCGCTGCCCCCGCTCGGCGGGCAGGCGCGGCTGCACGTGCACTGCCGCATATATATATATATATATATATATAGGGGAACGATGAAGTGATGTAAACATGACATCTCGCAGGTCCGCGCGGATTTCTCGGATCGGCGCCCGGGCCCCCCGGCGGCGCCTCCGGCGCCGCCCTTGGCACGCTCCGCGCGCCAGGGAGGGGACTATGTTTACGTCACTGCTCATTTCCCTTAATCAGGAGGGGAAAAAACACACAGACACAATTAATCGCCCACTCCCAGGAAAATATAGGAAAATATGGGAAGTGGGGGGGAAGACAAAAACCCAGAAAATATGGAAAAATATGGGGGATGTTTTTATTTGTGTGTATTTATTTGTGTGTCCTGGGGCCCCTTCACTTAGTACAGTCGAGGAGAAGACCCCGACCCCGGGGGAGGGCGAGGGGCCGCCGTGGCAGAGGAGGTTCGCCACCCCTCGGAGCCTGCCGGAGGCGCTCCGGGCCCGAGGTGTCGTCGTGGCCGAGTGGCGTTGCTCCTCCTCCTCCTCCTCCTCCTCCTCCTCCTCCTCCTCCTCCTCCTCCTCCACCCTGGCCCTCGCGGAGAATCGGGGCTCCCCTTTGGGGTCACGGCCACCCCTGGACAAAAGCGATCAGTTTCTTCGTGCCTGGCGGGGCCGCCAGGGCGGCGTGCTGCCCAGGGGTCCCACCCACGCGGGGCGCGTGGCGGGACCTCGGGCAGGGGATCGGCCACCGGATAGTCTGGGGCCGTTGGGTGCCTCTGGAGGCGCTCGGAGGCCGCTGGCAAGCGGGCCTCCCTCCCCTCCTCGACCACGCGCTGGCGGTCGGTGTGCTGGTTGTTTCCTGCGGTGCTCTATGCAGTCGGCCCTGACTAGTAGGCCGACCCTGCCAAGTCAAGGGTGCCCTCGTGTCCTGTGTCTCGCGACCCATGCCTCCTACATTCCTGCGGCAATGTGGCCTTTGGAAGGGTCTTGTATCCTCTCGTGCGTCCTGTCCAACCGAGTCCGACTGTAGCTGTTTCTTACGAGACGCAGCGGCTGGTACCCTGGAGGGAACAAGATCAGGAGGGGAAAAAGCACACGCAGACTCGACTCATCGTCGATGCCCAGGAGAGCATGGGAAACTATGGGAAGTCGGGGGGGGGGAAGACAGGCACCCAGAAAGCATGGGAAGATCTGGGACCTCCTGGGATCCTTCGTGCGCATCTGTCCGTGTGCCCCTCGTGGCCCCCTGGCGAGAGGCTGCTCCCGCGGGCGCGCTGGCCGGTCCGGCGGCGGCGCGGCCCTCGGGCCGCGGGCGGGCGCGCGGGCCGCCCCGCAGAGCCCTGCCCGCGGAGCGTGCCGGGGCGCGCCGGAGCGGCCGCTCCTCCCCGGGGCTCGGGGGTGGGCAGAACCCTCAGCAGTCTAGGCCTCCTAAATGGGGTCCGAGTAGATGGGGTCGGAGGATCGCGCCGCATCGCCGATGCATCGCCGATGCGGCTCGATGTGGAGCCCGATTTTCTCCACGATGGCGTCGCCGATGCATCGCCGATGTCGACGATGCATCGCCGGTGCATCGCCGATGCATCGCCGATGCATCGCCGATGTATCGGCGATGTATCGGCGATGTATCGGCGATGCAGCGCGATCCTCCGACCCCATCTACTCCGACCCCATCTAGGAGGCCTCTAAGCAGTGACACGTCGACCAGTGAATTGTCCGTTTTCGGTTCTCGAGAGGGCCTCAGGTCGTTGTCACTAGACCACGTTTTACTACAGGGGGGTCTGTCCATCCCCGAAGGAGGCGCGCCGGCGGGCGCCAGTTCTCTCAAGCAGGGGCGAGGCGTCCTGGCTCGCCCAGCCCCCACGAGCAGGGCTCGAGATGTTGCCCCAGAGTGGATGTCATGTGGCTTCGGTGGACAGGGTTGGTGGGGGGGCCTCACTGGTCCTGGTGGGCTGCCGGTCGCCTGGGGGAGGGGCTGTTACTGACAGGCAGCAGTGATAAACCCGCCCCCGAATCAAGCAGCGGCGAAGCGGCCTGGCTCGCCTATAGCCCTACCAAACGATGTTCTAAGAACCGTTTGCGATTTCCACGGAATGTTCTCAGAACACCTCTGGCGGAGTCTGTTTTGTTTTATCACATCGGGTTTATATTCTAAGAACATTGTTTTTGTTATGATAATATTTTCGGTTTTAAAAACATTCCGTGGTAGGACTGTAGGAATGCCGGGACGGTCGGCCCCTGCTCAACTCTCAGTGATTCTTGGTCTGTCTCAGCCCGACGTTGTCTCCATCCCACCTTCGTCCCACGGCAGGCGAAACATGAGAACATATTGGGAGTGCGTGAAATCTGGGCTCGGTCCAAGCTGGGTTGCAGGGGGATTCATTGTGGCTTTCTGAAGCTAGGTCACCCGCAGGGTGTGCGAAGATGATCGCGCCTCGCGGCCTGGTCTGGAAAGGTGCTCTTCTCCATGATTGCCGCGCGAGGTGCGAGGATCAGGTAGCATCGTGGGCCTCGAAGCGTGACAATACTACGCGACCAGATTTCGCAATACAAGGGAGGGGGTCTCAACCCTCCCAGACGAGAAGTTTTAGAGCCTCCCAGACCATCCATGAAAGGGCGGCCCTTTGCCCAGACCCCCCCGAACCCTCCAAGACGGCTCAAATCAGACCCCCATACGCCCAGTGGCAGTGTGACCCTCTGGGTGCGAGCGGTGGAGCAGTCTTCGGTTCGGCCCCGCGGAGGACCGACGGCGGCGGACGAGCTCCTCCGCACCACGCCGACCCCGCGTGGCGCGGCAGGTGAGGGCCAAGTTTCACCCGTGGCGGCAGGGACGGAGGAGGAGGAGGAGGAGGAGGAGGAGGAGGAGGAGGAGGAGGAGGAGGAGGAGGGAGGAGGGAGGAGGAGGAGGGAGGAGGAGGAGGAGGGAGGAGGAGGAGGGAGGAGGAGGAGGAGCAGGAGGAGGAGGAGGAGGAGGAGGAGGAGGAGCAGGAGGAGGAGGAGGAGGAATGGTCAGAGAGTCGCGCCGCGTCGCCGATGCAGCAGCGAGGCGGCGCAATCCGGGACCCGACGTTCTTCCTCCGAGCCCCGCAGACGCATCCATGGGGTGCGACTCTCCGGCCCCGTCCGCTCCGATCCTTTTTGAGCAGCCTCGTCAAGGAGCTTGGCATCGCTCGGACGTGTGCATTTTTCCCTCGGCGAGGACCATCGAGGAGCATCCTTGATCATTTCGCGAAGAAACCACGCACGAGACCGAAAAAAGCACAGGACATGGACGTCCGAGCGATGGCCAGGGGAGGGGTTCGACTGACTTTTGGGGGGGGGCGGCAGCGGAGGCAGGCGCAATGCCGGAGCTCCTAAGACGAGTGAAGGCCAGCATGTTGCGCCCGTCGCACGGAGGCTCAGTCGCCCGCGGGCTGCAGCAGAACAGCGGCGATGTGGTTCATCTGTTTTGACTGCATGCTGGGGCAGTCGCAGTGGTTGGAGTCCGTTTGGGTCGGCGTGGCCTTCGAGTTTCGGAAGCGCGTGGATCCAGGGTGTTGAAATTTGTAAGCAATTGGCGAAACATGTGTTGGACAACGGATTTCAAGTTGCCCGACGCACCCGCCCGATTTCAATGTCCCGCCTGTCCGATCCGCCCGCTGGCTTTCATATACCGCCTGCATCGTCGTCGTCGTTGTCGGCCGATGCAGTCGTCGTCGTCGTCGTCGTTGTCGTCGTCGACGTCGTCGCCGTCGTCGTCAATCAACGTCGTCGTCGTCGTCGACGTGTTCGTTGTCGTTTTCATTCGTCGTCGTCGTCGTCGTCGTCGTCGTCGTCGTGGTTGTTGTCCTCGTTCGGGGGGGTCCTCGCTGAAAAAGGGCCAGGTTCTCGAGAGGATGGGGGGGCAAGTACGTACAGGGGAGGGGGGAAGGGGGGGTTATAACGCGAACGAGAGAGTACAGCCACGAAAAGGGAAATTCGGTCCCGAACGGCGAAGTTTTTTTGCCGAACGGAGAAATACTGCCAGGCGGACAGGGACATTTTCCCGGGGGTCCCCGGAGTTGTTCCTGGTCGAACGGGGGCATGATTATGTCTCGGCCGACGGAGGATTGGTTTTTGTTTTTGTCACGTATGCTTCTTGATGCAGGCTCCCCTAAACATTCAAATCGTTGGAGGGCACGGGCGGGTGCATTCGGCGTAAGTTTTTGAGCTTGCGGCTGGTTCATCAGTTCCAGTTTCCATGTCTGCAGCCCTATTGCCCAGGATCCACTTCTCAGGGTTTCCAGGGGAACGGTGGGTCCTCTAGCCATCCGGGTGCGACCAGCCGGTGAGTTGTTCTAGTTCTGAAGTTTTTGTTGGGGGCAGTAGTTTTCTACCGAATCAGGCACTCTAAAATTTCGGTCACCTCGAGAGTCGACGGAGTTGCCACTGCCCCCGCGGCGGAAGGCCCGTCGATGGGCTCGTCGATGGCAGATCCCGGCGTTCCTAGGCGGGGTGGGGCCATGAGACTCGCGGGCGATTGTGGGTCGATGGCCCCTCCAACAAAAAACTTCGGTAGAAACGGACAGTGAGGATGCGCAGAGACAAAGAGGCAAGCCCCCGTGGGCGCCCATGTCGGGGCCCTTCGCGCGGGGCCGGTCATCGAGATAGGCCGAGGATGGACCGACGCGGCACGGGTGCAATGGCACCATTGGGAAGCTTACCCATCCATATCATCGGTCTCGACTCTGCATATCTCACTGTCGTTGCCCCTGCCCGATGCTGACACGCCGCGCGCCTGCTTCCGCGCGTTTCGGCCGACCCCCCGTCGCCGCCGCGCATGTCGCGCGGGCCAGTTGTTGTCGAGGGATGGGTGGTTCTGTGGCGTGGCGTTCGTTTGATCGACGCTCAACGCGCTATGAGTTGAAACTCGGGGCGGCCGAGAGTGCTCGGGCGAGGGGGTCAGCGGCCGGAGGCTCGGGGGCTGGAGAGGGGGTCTAGAGACGCGATTGCTCTCGCGGG